TAAATTCCTTTTGATATTATTATAATTATGTGGAAAAATTACATTCTTGGTGAAAAGCGCTCAAATTTGAATATGTTTATACATGTGCGAGAAGCGATACAAGTGTAAATGATTTATTTATTTATTCATTTATTTAGTAGACGTTTATCAAGTGATAAACTAAAAATATATATTCAAGAACATTGGCAAAACCAATTCAATTCAAAAATGCTTACGTCATTAGTGTCAACGTTAATGTGCCCCTACTATCACACCTAACTCAATATTTTTACTATTATGATTCTACACCACCGTCCTTAATAACAAAAAGATCATATGGGTAAAGTTTTCTTGTTCAATTCAGGAGAAATTCGACTGCAAATTCCTATCGTCCTACGGGCCCACCCAGCGCACCGAGTGCAGTAGTCTCGAATGAAAAACTCACTTGCTCAAATTTGCAATAATTCGTTGAAAATTTCACTGGAACCATATGATTTCCTATACTACCAGTCTGCCAGAGACCATTTTAAAAATAAGGCCCACGACTCGCGTTAACAAAACAATAACTCAAGCAGGCAAAGAAACTTCTTGATTTCCCTCTCTACACAAAATGCAGGCTGGTACAAAAAGTAAGTTTATCTATTTGGTCAATGTTCCCTGATTCTTCAAAAGTTCGTGAAAAATGCTGTCCCTATTCTCAGCAAGCACCACCGGATTATCGTACTCCATCACATGACCTCGGTCCATAACTATTACTTTATCGTAGTCTATAATTGTATTGATTCGATGTGCTATGGTTAGTACCGTTTGGTTCTTGAACTGGTGTCGTATAACATGTTGAATTAACGGGTCAGTTTTGTAGTCTACGTTGGCTGTTGCTTCATCCATGATCATTATTTGACGTTTCTCTAGTAAAGCTCTTGCAAGACAAAGAAGTTGTCGCTCACCTGCGCTGAAACCAGTTCCAAACTCTCCTATGTAGTAATCTAGTTGATCAGGAATGTTGTACACCATTTCACTCAGCTGGACCTGCTCAAGTGCTGTCCAGATTTGTTGGTCTGTAAAACTATTAAATGGATCCAAAGTTCTTCTGAGACTTCCAGAAAAAAGAAACGCGTCTTGGGATATGACAGCTACTGATGTCCGTGCAGTCTGGATATTAATGGTACCCAGGTCTATACCATCAATAAGAACCCGTCCTTGAGGCTCTGGCATACGTAAAATGGCGGCTATCAAGGATGACTTGCCTGCTCCTGTACGTCCTACGATACCTATTTTTTCTCTTGGTTGGATTAGTAAGTTGATATCTTCCAACACTTTTATCCCATTTTGTACATACTGTAGAGACACGTCCTGTAGTTTAAGCATACCCTGTTCAGGCCAGGTTTTTGTCTTAATATCTTGTCTGTTGTAACCTGGTTCTGATGGAAGAGAACAGTACGTCATGACTCTCTCGACTGACGTCATGTTGTTTTCTAAGTCGCATGCCATGCGTAGTGCGTACTCAACTAATCCAAGAAGAGATCCTGCTAGAGTTAACAGCATACCTACCAAAGCTGTACGGAAAAAAAAAAACAAACTGATATATCAGGTATTCTGAGACACAACATTTTTGTAGACTTACTGATGGCTTTGCAACACAATGTTGATATTCACAGGACTCTGTGGGGGCGGAACGTTATATATTACTCGTAGGGAGAGATTTCATTCTACAACAGCCTCCATTCCACAATGTTACCGCAAAACTTATGAATTTTGTCTGTTTTTCCTCTCATTCGTAGTAGTCCAAGTTTTGTTTTTGCCGAGTTTTTGATTAAATGATGGAGATGTCGTAACAGTTCAACATATTTGATAGCATGGTAACTATATAATGCTCTTAAATTTGGGAGTATGCGAAATAGATTATTGTTACGACATTTTTTATGTATATATATTGGTTGGTATATAGGTAGTAATTGCATTAAAACGTTGCTGGTTTATCATGGACGTCCAKCCYCTTCTATACCAATGACATTTTGCATTCTACCTTTGTCCTCAATGGCAAACAAACCAATGAAGGCCACGCCTATGACAATACATGCGACCAGGATATCAAAACGAAGTGCAAACCATTGTTTCGAGGCGACAACCAGATAGAAAGCCTTGGTGTGCTGGTTTTGAAGTCTGAAAGTACGAATGTTCATTACATGTTAATAAATGTTAACAAAAATTAATTTCTTAATTATTCCCAAGGGTACGTTGCTAATATTAGATAGAATAAGATATATACCTGATCAATTCATTGACAAACCATTCTTCCCTATGCGACGTACGAATGACTTCTAGCCCTCTTATTGTTTCAGTGACGTGCGAATACACGGGACTGTAGCGAATTGCTACCATTCGGGTCAGCTCACGAGATGTTTTGAGGTAATAGCGAGAGAAATAATAAGAAAGTATTACAAGTGGTATTACTACTAGCAGAAACCACAAGTTGATGACTGTTGTCATCACAACCACTCCCAGGCACTTGACGATAATCGGCAAAGCCGTGCCATATCGTCTAGGAAGCTCATCATCAATGATGCCAATGTCTCTTGAAAAGCGATTCATTATTCGTCCCGTTGGATTGGTATCAAAGAACAGCACTGGAGACTTGATCACTGCTTCCATCATGTTTGCGTGAAGGTTTCTAGATGACTTGATTACGAGGTAGTAGGAAAGGAAGCTTCGTAGGGTAACCAAACAAAACGATACGCACACCAGCCCAAAATATTCCAAAATGGTTGTGGAGTTCCTCTGTGCGCTGTAGGACATGTTAGCCAGGAATGCTTGAAAAATGCTTGTAGCAAAAATGAATGCTTTGGGGGAAAAAAGTGAGAAAGCAAAAGTATGAAAATGAAAAATATCAAAGTAATAAGGGATCTAGTACGAAAATTGTCCAAAATTTAGTTCAGCTGAAAAATATGCTTTCTATTCCACTTCAAGAAATCTAACCAACGTTCTGAAGAGGGTGATAGCTGCAGCCAAACAAGCATCAAACCCTGAAACAACCTCTGGGCTGATCTAAGTCAGGGCACGGTTAACTCATAGATAGAACCCTAAAACAACCTCTGGGCTAATCTAAGTCAGGGCACGGCTTTGCAGTTTGTTCTTGATATTCCGACTGGAAGAATTATATTTTTACGAATGTTTATAGGGTCTGTGAGGTCATCTACTCAAAACCAAAACATCGCTCCATACATTTCTTCATTAATAACTTAAGRATTTATTTTATCTATATAGATGCCCAAAGGTCGCCTGAGGGACTTAACCACACATTACTTGTGATAACAATCAATTGTTTCGTCTCTTTTCCTCAATACTGAGCATAAAACTAGCGGATATTTTGATCAAAAAAATGAAAAATAAAAGACAAAGAAATGTATAGAGCGATGTTTGGTGTTATAGTAGACAGACTCTGTTAAAAATTTTAAAAACCTATAATACTTCCCATCGGAATATCAACAACAAACTTTAATCAGTTATTATTAGACCCTTAAGGATTATTCCAGTAAAGTTTTAACCGAATTAAAATTCGGACAACTTTCGTACTAGACCACCTTCAAAAGAATGGAAAGTTAACATTTTACTTTTTGCCACAAAGATAGTTACGACTCAGTATCGCTTTTGGGAGTGTTGATTGCGTCACATACACAACTACATTGTCAGTTTTTGTTTTTTCTCGTGGTGGGGAGGGGCGCGGTTTTAAAGATTAGTCCAATGGTTTGCTGGGTATTTGGCCGGGTCATTTGTTGGCTTGCTTGTTGCCGGTAGTTGTATGGTTATGTTCATTTTTGACAAACAAGGAGCATCCCCTATAGAGGCTTTGCATCATCACGTGATGGCAGCCATTACAGAAGGCAGGAACAATTGAATCTGGTCTAATCTGATTTACATGAGAAAGAATTCAGTTTCCCATGGGAGAAAGACTTTATTGTTGTGCCAACTGTCATGGCTGCCATCACGTGGTGGTGTAAAGCCTCTATACTTTCCCCTATTATATACAAACAGTTCTACCCTCGGAATGATGCACAAGTCTTGTAAAAAGAAATAATGTCACTCAAAGTTCTTAGTACCTTGTACGAATAGGTAGAAGAAGGCAAAGCTTAATATAGACACACTGTTGGATCCAGTTCTAAAGAAAGACCAGTACAAGCGCCATGTCACGTGACCAATATCTTTCTCTTCCTCCTCTTCCACCAGGTCACATGATTCTTTCTCATCTGGTTCTTTTTGTTTCGAGGTTCGAATGAAAGTTGCTCTATCAGCAGTCGAATTGTTACTGGCAGCAACCTCAATTATATGTTCCTGTTGTATCGTTCCTCTTGCTTTCAGTTTCTCGTACGATCCTTGGTCTTCAATGCGACCATCTTTTATTATAACTATCCAGTCGGCTCGAGGAAGATACTGCAACTGATGTGTAACTAGAATTCTAAGACTACCTGACAACTCTTCACAAACACACTTTTCAAAGATCTGTTGACCAACTTTAGCATCCACGGCACTCAATGGGTCGTCAAGTAAAACTATCTCTGCTTCTGAATACATTGCGCGTGCTAGACTGACACGAGACCGCTGACCACCACTCAGGACGACACCACGTTGACCAATCATGCTTAGATCTCCTTTTGGRAATCTTTTCATATCCTTCTGCAAACCGCTAAGGTCAAGAATCCTTTGATATTTCATCTTATCAAAGGTTTTTCCAAAGACAATATTATCACGCACCGTCCCAGAAAATGTCCAAGGTACTTGTGAAACATAAGCCATCTTACCATGAAATGAAATTTTTCCAGATGTTATGGGAATCTCTCTCTGCATAGCCATCAGTAAAGAAGACTTTCCGCTGCCAACAGGACCTGTGATAACCATCAACTGATGTGGACTGACTTTGAGAGTGATATCATGAATCACATTTTGCTGACTAGTGCTCCATGCTGCTGATAGGCCTTTTAGTATCATATAGTTATCGATGTTGCTTGTCATACCTGAAACTTGATCTGAAGCTTCAAAAGGACTGAGTTCTAGTTCAAAATCCAAGTCTTTTTCTAACAAGAACTTTTCTATTCTCTGCAATGAGATTTTTATATCTTGAATATAACGATAGCAGTAATCGATGTTATAAGCCATACAATTAGCTAGATTTTGAAATATCGTAGCCATAGTAAATATATGATAGGAAAAAAGATGAATTCCTGAGTAAATCAATGCTACTATGGCTATTAGCGTTGTGACGTCATTGAGAGCATCTTCGGCTGAATTATTTAGTGAGTAGAATATGGTTTTGCGAACGACGTAGTCAATTTCTTTCCTGAAAAAGATAAAGAATGCATGACGTGAAATGCAAGCCTGATTTGAAAGGAAAATTGTCAAAAACTGGGAAATAGAGGCTCAATTGATACCGGCTAGAATTTTCGATTATTGTTACCTCCAGCTCATACTATTTTGGGTGTATTTATCTTATCTCCCTATCATTTGTCTATTCAGGTTGTTTTTTATCTTCCACCATTTCGAGGGGAATCCATGCTAATAAGTAAGTTGTTACATGTGTACAATGTGCAATTAATCATAGCAATTAGTTCAGGAATACAGAGAAATCAGGATTTGGTGAATGCTAAAGGTGGATCCAAACTAATTCAGAGCGAATTTTGGACGATTTTATTCTCGCTCGCTTCGCAAAACTAGTGCGTTAATTTAAGTGGATTTTTCATATATTGTGTTTTGATTATCCTAGCTTCTAACAGAGTATTTATTTAAAAATTTTTCAAGTGTTTAGCCTATTACGACCGAAAATCAAACAGTGCTATTTTTGGTTTTTGGCTTTTTTCTGATTTTTCTCAGGTACCATTTTTCTGAAATTTTCAGAATCTTACCATCTAGTACTATTGCAGCCTGCGTATAAATTTGGATAGAAAGTTTAGAGTACAAAAAAAGTTATGGCGCCGCTTGAAAATTTGATCAAAAATTTGAAGCATATAAAACTACGCGCTGTACAAACAGTATCATTGAATGGATTGTCTTGACGTTCTCACATATCTATTTCCAAGTATTGGCGCACTATATTTTTGCGAAGCCAACGAGAATAAATTTGTCCACCTTAATGTGGCCAAATTAAAAGGGCATGGTTCTTGACAATGATTGTTACATGAGGGACCGTACTTCCTGAATAGTAATGAGGGAAATTAAGTCTAAATTGCCCTCATTACTATTCAATAAAGAGCAATGTTAACTGTTAAGCGTCCCTCAGGAAACAATGGTTTTCAGTGAGAAAACTGTTACGAAATTATTGTGCAAAATCCATTTTTCTAGACTCCCTGAAATTCATGAAGCATTTTTAATTTTAAATACTAAAAATGTCGTCTCACAGAATCTTGCTTTTTTTAAAGTTTGAGATCGGATTACAGCAATATATACAAGTCAACTTACCTTCTCACAACTTTAATCAAGTTCATAAAACTCTGTTCCCAAGCGTAAGTCTTTACAGCTCGAATCCCTGAGACGATTTCGTTCAAAATACCTAGGCGCTGATCTGTCAACTCAGCTTGCTTTCTACGCAACGTGGCGTACTTTTTGGCCATAGAAAAGGAGAGAATAACAAAAAAGAGAAGGAGTATAACACCACATAAAGACTGCCAACCAACGAATAACAGCAACACGCCCAAGGACATGACAATAATGAATGGCGTCATTATCAAGGATGATATCACCATGTACGAATCTTCCATTCTTTGCACATCACATGAGGTTTTGGATGTGACCTGTTGTGACTGAAGACAAGATGTAGCGTTGTGATTGCAGAACCTGTAAGTTGAATAACAAAGCACAGTATTTATTTGTTGTGTTATTGATCTTATTTTACACTAGCTACAAATGAAAGCACATRCCTAAATCTTTGAAAAGGAATTGGGAGCATACCCCCTGACCTCCTCCTTTCGTTTTGCAAAGTCTGCGGTGAAAACGGCGACTCTTTAAGGTGTTTCTGAATTGACGTGCATTTTTCATGGCTTAGCTTAGAATCTTAAATTAAATGTAACCAGGAACTGTAGGGTCGCCGCGGGAAAGGAATCTACGCATAGGTTTGGCCCGGTACCGTGTTTGAAAGCGTTTCGCATAGATCGCTTGGGGTCTTCTAGGGAAGACATTTGTAGATGTTGATGTGTAGGTAACGATAAGCTGCAGTTATTGATATACAAGTGGAGCAGGAAGTCCACGACACTGTCATGCCTTGTGCAAGTGGTCGAGATGCCATGGTGACCACACTTTCTTTCATTCAATTGAATGGTTCCGTGCCTGTTTCAAACTGTATTTTGTACCTTTTATAACGGGGCTCTCAATTCCTGGAATGGGCCCACTTTTAAATAAAGGTACTGTTTGAGAAATACGTTGACAAATTAGTTTGGCTGGCAAATGCCCAATAGGTTTGGTGTAATTGAGCTTCAAAGATTGAAAAAAAAAATGGTTGCAAAATACTGTCGGCATGGAACAGTAGAGCGGCAGGTAGTTGCTGTTTTATTACTAAACTCAGTTCATCTAGATCTCTTCAATTACCTTTTTTATTCTTAAACAATTGAATGTGCTTCATTACGATAAATATCTTATTTTAAAGTGAATTGGGGTGGAGTACCTCTTTGCTTTGATGACACTCGAACCGTTATAACAGGGTATTTTATTTTTGTCCCTTAAAAAAATGCATACTGTACATCATCCCTTGAGCCAAGTAATTGAAAAAGGGTTTATTTTGATCACTCAGTGTGTCACTTCATATTAGAGGGTTTGGAATGGTAGAAAGTTAGGAGATAATAACCTAAAAAACTCGAAGTGTTCACGGTTCGAGTGTCCTCACTGTAGCATACATTTGTAAAGATAGCTAAATGAATACCTTTTTGTGGATTAGTCCAATCAATGCTACTTTGAGATTTATTGCCATAGATCTTGTTTGAAGATCGTGATGTTTGCCGGCAAACACTCGAATCAATACAGCAACACTGATCCCAGCAGCAGAAAGAGTAGCATACTTTTGGTAATGCTGAAAATCCTCCTTGAGAGTCCTGAGGTAAAACCAAAGTAGAACTGGAAATATGGAGCCCATTGCTGTGTGCATAAATTTCAAAACCAGGACTAACACATATTGTTGCAATGGGAATATCTTAAGCACCGCTCGCCATAGACGAGGTTGTCTTCCACTGTTCTTGGCATTCATGACCTCATCTTCCCAGGCATCGTCAATTTGTTCTGCTATTTCTTCGGCATAATGATCATCTGATAACTCGTGCAAATCATTATCCTGCAAAGGCCGTTTATAACCAGTATATAGAAGATTGTTCATCCATGATAGAAATAAAAGAGAAAAAAATCCTGCTTCTTCCTTGGGTTTTTTAGAGCAAGAATCTTTTGATAAATCCATGGCAACTATACCTGCCAACAGAAAATATTGAACAATATTACAAGCATTTCACCTAGTATAGAGTGTACTGGAAGTTGACAGAGATAAAAGAGAAAAAAATCCTGCTTCTTCCTTGGGTTTTTTAGAGCAAGAATCTTTTGATAAATCCATGCCAACTATACCTGCCAACAGAAAATATTGAACAACATTACAAGCATTCCACCTAGTATAGAGTGTACTGGAAATTGATAAATTTCAAGAACAATGACCGTTTACAGAATTACTCAGTACAATGAAAAAATCTAAATATGCAACATGTTAAGGTAGCTTCTACAGGCAAATGTCCAGAAATCTTAAAAATCAGAACGGGAGATAAAATGGCTAAGCTCTTTTGTAAGAAGTAAGGATCGATTAGATAATAGCGCAGCGCACTGATTCTAAAAATAGCTTAAAGATTCGGACAAACATTGCATTCTGTTTAACC